GTCTCTGGCCTCTCTTCGAAGGTCATGATGGGCCTTCAGTCATCTGGACCCCTGTGGTGTACATCAGCTGGGATATCATTTGGGAATAAAGAACAATTCAAAGCAGGGGATGCTGAATTAGAGCCGGGGAATTAAAATCATTCAGCAAGTCCTTCCAAATCTACTGGACCATCCATTTCCCCCTGCTTTGCCCTTTGCTTGTCCCATGTAGATCAATGGAAGATGGTGAAACACTTCTGGTGATGGTATGTATGTCCTGAGGAGAGAAGCAACAAGCTACTAGACAGCCTGGAAGAGGGAAGGGACAGCAAGCCCTTAATGGACCACAGTCTGCATTATCAAGGTAGCACAGAGGGATAAGGCATCCCTGGGGGAGGCCAGGACTACCTCAGTCAGTCACTTGCCCTTGCTCAGAGAAGGATGGAGCTGGAGATAAGGGTCTCCTGCATATAGACTTGTGCCTGTATCTTTTTGTGCTATATGGGTTGGGAAGACTGGACACTCGGCGAATTATGCATCCATCCACACCATCATTCATGAGCAGACATTGCCCTAAGTGGTTTGGGAGGGGTGAGGGACTATACATTTGTGCAGTATAAAGCGGAAAAAGTCCCCTGGCTCAGCCAGGAAATCCATGCATGTCCCCATAACTCCAAAATCTAAGAAGTGCTAATCATAATAAATGAATGAATGAATGAATAAATAAGTAAAATAAATAATAAATAAAATAATATTGCTGTCAGGTTTCATCAATATGGCACTGCCAACTCTGCAACGAATTGTTTTAAAAGACCTAGAAGAGATTTGTAGCCCAGGTTTCCCATCATCAGGTCCAGGAGATGCAGATGTAAGGCGATTGATCTGAAGGCTTTTATCATCCCAAAGACAGACTGAATGGCTGTATACATCACTTCTCAAACACGCGGGGTGTTATTTAGAGGCAGCAGTCTCCAAACAGCTCTTCCACATGATTGATGGTAACAAAAAGCTATCTGTCACTGGTTGGCTTCAGGCTTTTCACACAAAACTGTGTTTTATACTTTGTTTGCTCAAAGAAAAAAAATTACTTGAACAAAGTCTTTATTTATTTGCCAAGAAATTGTACATAACCTGGAAAACAAGCACACCAAACCAGCAGTGCTTCTTCCCAAACCACTTGAACGTGAGTTCCCGAAATCTGATGCCAGAGGGGCAGTCAGCCCCAGTGGTCAAATTGTTAATGCTTGCCCTGAAGCAGACCCTTCTGCCATAGCCTTTTTTTGATATTTTTCAGGGATTATCATCACACAGAAATTTCCTCCTGTGAAGCTTTTGTTCACTGTTTATGGAGCAAAAATCAAAAGAACCTTTTTAGATGCCTGCTTGTCAGGTGCTGTGAATGTGCCAAACTAAACAAAATTATTATTGTGTCCGAAGACATGTGCCTAGGAAAGGCTGTGGCTTTTAAAAAGCCTCTTCAATGTCAAGGATGTGACCACCTGGTTAGCCCAGCTCTTCCTCCTCTTGTCCTGTGCCCATCACCTCTCCTCCCAATAGCTCATGAGCGCAGAGTCTCTCCCTTTCTCTTTTTTTGCTTTAAATTTGTTCTCTCTCCTTTTGGATATTAACAAATTGCATTTATTATTTCCTTCCCATCCTGTCCTGTGCTGTTTGGTCAAGTCATTTCTTTGAGGGACTGCATCTGCAGTGGCACCTGCACTCCACTCAGTACATCTGCCCCAGGCCTATGGTTGTATGGCTCAAGTAGGGGTGATTGGACTGCTCAGTATTTTCTCCCCGATTCAATATTTCTTGACTGAAGACTGACTTCTCAACAAACATCATTTTTTCCAAAGAGGTGGCATTTCTGTAAAAAATGCAGCTCTTCCATCAAAAACCTCAAATGATTGGAAACAATGTGATAGAGAACAACATGGTTATCCCTTGGGAAGTTGTACCGATGCATATGAACCCTTTGGAGGTGCAACTGTGGTGCCTGAATGGCACCACTCCGGCCAAACCCCGGTGGCATCTGCATGCACCCAGCAGCAGCGGGTGTCTCCCTCCTGACGAGCAGCAGGAGCAAGGAGGAATCCCAGCCCTGGCCACTGATGCTTTGGCAGGTCCCCAACACGAGGCCACCAGGAAGGGTTTGGTTCCTGGTTAGGATCCGCCTTGGCTTCTCCTCTGCCTCCCACCGTGGTCCCGCTGCAACCACTATGTTTGGGGAATGTTTGCGGTAAGAGTCGGGTGAAGGTGGATTTTACCAGTCCCAGAGTCATTCATAGAATCATAGAATCGTTAAGGTTGGAAAAGACCCTTAAGATCATCGAGTCCAACCGTTAACCTAGCACTGCCAAGTCCACCACTATACCATGTCCTCGAGCACCACATCTGTCCGTCTTTTAAATACCTCCAGGGATGGAGACTCAACCCCTTCCCTGGGCAGCCTGTTC